TATATATATATATATATAAATAATGCAGTATAGCTCATGAAAAAAACCAAAAGTTTTAAGTAAAAAAAAAGAAAGAACTGAAAATCCTTTGGGTATACAAAGCTGTACACTCTACAGGTGCAGAAATGAAGGCCTTTGCTCTGTGCGCCTCTTGCATTCACTGGATGTCTCTGTGGAACACAGCACCGCAACAGATACCGCAGCAGACACTTTATTAATTTCTTCTGTGTCACGCAACTGATCTATTTTCCAACAGAGTATTTGGATACGCTGAGAGGAAATGAAAATCCCTGTATACAGGTCACAAGCAGGCGCTATGTAGTTAGATTACCTTTAGTAATCTAAATGTAAGTAATCTTTGGCAAATTTCTACTTTTCATGCTGTTCCAAAATTCACTTAGCATTTAAAATGGTTGATTTTACTTTTTTGTTTATAAAATGATTTATAGACCAAATAGAATTTTAATTTAATTTTAATTTTTAGACGAAATAGAATTTTAATATCTGCCATTCATAAGACCATGACAGAAAAATAATTATTTGCTCATCGATATTATCTTAAATTTTAAATATTTGTGCATCCCCAGAAACATTATGTATTTTTATGTATTTAGAATGTCATGCATTTGCACTTTCATACCCAGGTCTCCTTGGCAGATATCTGTCCTGTTGGCTCCCCCAAGAATGAACTGTGGATTGCTACAAATGTCCTGTTTAGGAAAGAGAAACATATATTTATAATTGTTATAAAAATATATTTACATAGTAACTGTATTTTTAAACTTCTACTATCTTCAGAAAAAGAATATGGCTATATCTGTGAAGATCAGCACCACCACAGAAATTCAGCAGCTGTCCATGGGTCATAAAGTTTGCTGACCGGAACTTCGCTAGCGCGTTTTTATGAGCTGCATCTCAAAAGAGGTCAAGGCATGATAATGTACAGTATGTAAATCCTTCTCATTATTTTTAAAGTGTCAGTAAATGCAAATGAAAATGTGTGACTGACTTTTTGAAGCACCAATCCAAAAATTTATTTAACGACCTAGCAAAGGCCTTGCAGGCCGTGTCCAGTAACCTGATTCTCTGAAGCAGTATTATGAAGTAAAGCTATAAATGTCTGTCACACATCAGTCAAAACAAATAGGTCAACTTTTAATAAGTTACATGAGATGGACTGACAAAAAACACCACATAAATATTCACTTAGAACACTAATGCAAATGCATGACACATTTCTATACTTTAAAAACAAGATGCTACTCCAACATCTTTGTTTACATTATTTAATAGTGATGATAAGAAAATAGAGCCACATATCAAACCTAATGACACAAGTCCATTATCAAGTAGAGCTCTGCTTTATGAAGCACTAGCACAACAATGCATGCATGATTTGTCAAGTCAGCTGCCTGAGACTCCAGAGCGTGCTAAACCGCAGCCATGTCCCCAACACACACACACTACAGAAACCCTGCCACATTCTAATGGCATGCCTGCAAAAAAATATCTTATCTCATGCTGTCTATTCACATAGCAACTGAAATTGTTGCTTAGGTATATAAAACCAACTGAAAAACTGAAACACTGCAATGAATTATTAATCAACAGTTTTTTTTTTATGCATGTAAGGGGGAAATTTATGGAGATGGTCATGTAAGGAAATAAAGTGATATTCTAGCAAAATGGCAAAAATGAAATAAAATTATATTTTAAAAACACAAATGAAATTAAATTAAAAATATTTCATTTATTCAAATTCAATTCAATTCAATTCAATTAAAATACATTTTTAATTTTGAATTAGCCAAGAAGAAAATATCCCCATGCAGAACTGCAGAAATTCTATTATCATTATATCCAAAAACATCTCTGTTCCACAGAGGGTCAGATGTAACTGATCTCATGCACAGTGCCACGTTATAGTAGGTCACTCACCGACGGGCGCTTCCATTCAAGCTTTAGAGGGAACTTTTCACTGTAAAAGAGAGAGGAATCCTCAGCAGGGAACAGCGGGTCTTCAAACAGCACTTTCTTAAGTACATATTTGTCTCTGAGCTCCTGAAAGTCCTTGAGACGCCTAGCATCTTTAACAGTCTCGTTGCGACTTAAAATGGCTGAATAAATGTTTCGCGGGGCAGTAAAACCACTGCCCAAAGTCTGTGGAACAAGATGCTACTCCAACATCTTTGTTTACATTATTTAATAGTGATGATAAGAAAATAGAGCCACATATCAAACCTAATGACACAAGTCCATTATCAGGTAGAGCTCTGCTTTATGAAGCACTAGCACAATGCATGCATGATTTGGCAAGTCAGCTGCCTGAGACTCCAGAGCGTGCTAAACCGCAGCCATGTCCCCAACACACACACACTACAGAAACCCTGCCACATTCTAATGGCATGCCTGCAAAAAAATATCTTATCTCATGCTGTCTATTCACATAGCAACTGAAATTGTTGATTATGTATATAAAACCAACTGAAAAACTGAAACACTGCAATGAATTATTAATCAACAGTTTTTTTTTTATGCATGTAAGGGGGAAATTTATGGAGATGGTCATGTAAGGAAATAAAGTGATATTCTAGCAAAATGGCAAAAATGAAATAAAATAATATTTAAAAAACACAAATTAAATAAAATAAAAAATATTTCAAGAAGAAAATATCCCCATGCAGAACTGCAGAAATTCTATTATCATTTTATCCAAAAACATCTCTGTTCCACAGAGGGTCAGATGTAACTGATCTCATGCACAGTGCCACGTTATAGTAGGTCACTCACCGACGGGCGCTTCCATTCAAGCTTTAGAGGGAACTTTTCACTGTAAAAGAGAGAGGAATCCTCAGCAGGGAACAGCGGGTCTTCAAACAGCACTTTCTTAAGTACATATTTGTCTCTGAGCTCCTGAAAGTCCTTGAGACGCCTAGCATCTTTAACAGTCTCGTTGCGACTTAAAATGGCTGAATAAATGTTTCGCGGGGCAGTAAAACCACTGCCCACAGTCTGTGGAGCGGCCTCAGTCAGTTGGACAGATGTTTCTGGGAACTTTTGTTCTTCTGCCATATTGCTATTTGATGACAGATGCCAAAGAAGCGATGAATGAATAGGGCTCAGTATCAATATTCAATCAGTATCTACACCGGTTCACACACTTGCAACTTTTCCCTGTTCCTCTTGGAAGCTAACTCTATTTATAGGCCTCCTACAGGGACATGAGGGTTTCTCTCTTTTGCCTGTCTAATGGGGGCATGATTCCCAGCTGGTGACCTCAGACATTTCCAATGCGGATAATGGGAATAACAGAGGTCCAGTCAAAGATTAGAAAAGTAAAAACCCCCGAGCACTATACCACAAATCCAAATGTTTATTTCTATAGATGTTTACAGATGAACATGCAGGTGTTAAAAAGTAAATTCTCCTTCATGGAAATTTTTTAAGTGAACACATACTTAAAATTTCTATTTACTTCTAATACATCTACAATACCTAATATACACATGTTATATATTCAGAAATTATAGATTTCTCTCTCGTTTTATAGAAGAAGAAAAAAAAACCTGGCAATGGACCTTGCCTTTGTGTGTCCTATCTTAATTTTATTTTTTCTGATGAAATTTGCCATACTCTTCATACCTTCTTGTCATTTTGCACTTAATCAATCAATCAAACAAACAAACAAACAAACAAACAAACAAACAAACATAAAACAAGTGGTTTGAACAAATGAAGACGCCTAGCATCTTTAACAGTCTCGTTGCGACTTAAAATGGCTGAATAAATGTTTCGCGGGGCAGTAAAACCACTGCCCACAGTCTGTGGAGCGGCCTCAGTCAGTTGGACAGATGTTTCTGAGAACTTTTGTTCTTCTGCCATATTGCTATTTGATGACAGATGCCAAAGAAGCGATGAATGAATAGGGCTCAGTATCAATATTCAATCAGTATCTACACCGGTTCACACACATGCACACATGCTCACATGTGCTTGCAACTTTTCCCTGTTCCTCTTGGAAGCTAACTCTATTTATAGGCCTCCTACAGGGACATGAGGGTTTCTCCCTTTCGCCTGTCTAATGGGGGCATGATTCCCAGCTGGTGACCTCAGACATTTCCAATGCGGATAATGGGAATAACAGAGGTCCAGTCAAAGATTAGAAAAGTAAAAACCCCCGAGCACTATACCACAAATCCAAATGTTTATTTCTATAGATGTTTACAGATGAACATGCAGGTGTTAAAAAGTAAATTCTCCTTCATGGAAATTTTTTAAGTGAACACATACTTAAAATTTCTATTTACTTCTAATACATCTACAATACCTAATATACACGTTATATATTCAGAAATTATAGATTTCTCTCTCGTTTTATAGAAGAAGAAAAAAAAAACTGGCAATGGACCTTGCCTTTGTGTGTCCTATCTTAATTTTCTTTTTTCTGATGAAATTTGCCATACTCTTCATACCTTCTTGTCATTTTGCACTTAATCAATCAATCAAACAAACAAACAAACAAACAAACAAACAA